AGAGAGAGAGAGAGGCAAAGAGAGAGGGGGAAAGAAGGAAAGAGAGACGCAGAAGGGGAGAGTGTGCACTAATGTTTGTGTATGTGGTCTGTGCGTAAGAGTGTATGCAGGGACTCCAAAATCTACCACATTTTAATTACTGCCCGGCTGCACTGTGTGCCTCTTTGAAATGGAAATTCAGGCAACCATCTTCACACAGCCACTGTACAAATCTTCATTTGATTCATAAAAAACAATGAGCCCCGCTAATTCCTCCACCTGATTACAGGCCTGGACCCGTGTCAGAGACGTGCGGCCACCAACGCCCTTCCAATTAATTCTACATATTAATGTGTGATATTAAAAAAAAATAAAATTATTAAAAAAAGAACACGAGGCTACTTACCATAGTTGAGTCTGTTGCATTTTGAAGTCAAACTTAATTATGCGCAACTATGATATGGACTGAAAGAAAATGTCCAATTATTTTGAGAAAAACATATTCAGTGGGAGAGTGAATGATACAGATCAAAATGGGCCACTTAGGTTACTTGTGCAATTATGCAGTTCCTGTGATGATACACATATTTAGATTTTTTTTCATCTGTAATCCTTTAATGTCAGCAATACTGTTCACTTACAGCAACCAGAGGGACATGAAAATCTAATCAAGTAAGAAAAATCCCCCCCGAACTGACCGTGTAAGTGCCTACACAGACACACACACACACACACACACTTGCACAAACACTGACTGCAGGCAATTTTTTTCTATTAAAAACATAACCTGTAACTTAGAAGATGATTTAACGATAGACAAACCTGCATTCAAGAGGAAAGGAATTCAGCCTGTAAATAACCCATGATGCTTTTTTTGAAGCAGCTGATGTTTTGCTGTCTATCTGTTGCACTCTTTGCATGGACATAATGACCCTCTATGAGTCCTTTGCACCACAGCTGAACCTCTGTTTCGTCTCTTTTTTTTTTCCACGTGGGAAAAAAAAAAGTCAAACAGGAGGAACCTTTGTTTATTTATTGAATTCGACTCATAAAATAACACTGACTAATCTGAAAGTTTATATTCAATTAAAAAGAAATGAGCGCCTTCCCTCCACTCCACACACACAGATACGCCAAGGCTTCTCCCCATTAGTTTTGATCATTGTTGAGATATTCTACGACAAATTAGATAACACTTAGAAAGACAGATGTCACAACATGTGCTGCCACCTTTATTATCTCCTGCGGTCCTCCAGCCTTCTGCTGTACTCCCCTCTACCTTTACAGAGCCTGCTGTTGTTTACCTCCATCTAACCTTGTTTATCATCAAGTCACAGAAGAAGTAACTGGTACCCGTGCACCACCCAAATCGCTCCCCTTCCTCAACAATGCTTCACTCTCACATCCCACAGCACTTGTCATATCAAGATAAAGCACTGCGAACAGTCTCAGTTGTGAAGTTGTAATTCTTCGAGTGACGCAGAATATCTGGGGTTTTTTTGTTGTTTTTTTATTTTAAAGGATTTTTCAACAGAAGAGTGAAGACATGCTTGTGAAGTGCAGGAGAGGGAAAGTGTAACTCACTCACGGGAACACACTGAGGCAAAAAGGGTCTCTACCGCTCATAGACAAATTCACACACAGACATTTGAGATTGACAAAAGCCGATACAAATGCTCAATTTGTAAAAATGGTCAACTTTGTAAAACATTGTTATTGCTTTTATTGCATCACTGCATTGCTTCACCCAAGTAAGAAATAAAATCTATTTTCTTGACTGTTCTTTATACCAGATTATGTGAGGAATAAATATGCATCCAGACCGTGTAGCCCTTGTAGCTGCAGAGCAGAGCCATTAAAAGAAACCTGCATACACACTTTCATTTGCGTCACGGCATGGCTTGTGCATGAAAAAAATATATATACCAGATTTTGTTTCTATTATCATAAATATCTTAAATCTGAAATAAAAATAATGCTTTTAAATGACCTCTGGAGAGTTTGTCCCATGAGCTTCATAAAACAGCAGATTTCTAAGCAAACATTCACTCTCCAAAACGGAACAGATTTCACAATTAAAACCTGAATAAATTTTGTGAAAATGAGCAAAACGAAAACATTTATCCAATTGTAACAGAACATAGACCTAGTCATTTCACTTTCCACTGACTTTCCCTTCATCCCTCCTGCTCAGAAAGGTTTAAACAAACACATTCACACAATGACAGCTGGAGAGATGGTTTAGAAGTGACTTTTCAGGTCAACTTAACCGCGCCATATCTTTTCAGTTCAGTAACAAACATTTTAATTTAAGAGATAGGGATGTTATTAATATATTAATGTCTAGCAAACTAACCCAGCTGCAATGCTACAGTGGATTGGACTTTAACTGTAACAGTACAGGATGTGTAAGGACATGTGAGACAGGCTTGGGGGGGGGGAGAGATTTCGACTTTATGCCAAAATTAAAGTCCTAAAATCTCTGATCTCTCTGGCACAAGCAGCGTCTGCGTCTCTGCATCTTACGCTGCGTCTGAGGAAGAACATTCCAAGTGTTGCAAATAAAAATCTAAAGTCACATTGAGAGCCAGAAAAAAAAAAGGTAAAGAAGTTGTTTTAGTTGCCAGATCATCGCCTTGTAAAATTTAACTTAAGCAAAACACTTCATGAGAATGAAATGTCACGGACTGCAAAAAAAAAAAAATAGAAATAAAAAAAATAATTCCAAAATATACATTTCAAATTTCCTCCGTTCATAAAGGAGCATAAGAGCAGCTTTAAATGAACAGGGTGACGAGTTAAGACGCTCATCTCTAATCGGGAAATATGAGGACTATAAGAAAAACCGGAGCATCACAGAGTTGAGGCTGGCTGTGGATGCCGCCTGTTTTTTTGGGGGTTTTTGTTTTGTTTTGTTTTGGGGTTTTTTTTGTGTCTTTTTTCCTGGTTTCACTCTTTCAGTGAGCGACACGCTGAGCTGCAGCAGCCGTCAGACACAAACTGACACAGACAGAGCCGAGTGTCCGTGTATAGCGATCAAGACAATGTGCTGAATGGGCAGTCTAATTATAAATGTACCATTTAGGTTCGCGTTTGGTCTCCAGAACCGCCTTACCTTATGAGGAGACCTGCGTGAACGGGCCGCACAGAGGGCTCGGAACAAAATGCCAAGAGGGGTACAGTTAAAATAAAATAAAACAAAAATAAAAATAATAGAAAACACTTAAGCAGACTTTTTCGGGAAGCTGGGTTTATGTTTGTGGAGAGAGGAGGAAAGAGAAAAAAAAACACGAGATGGTTAGAGAGTAATAAAACGTGTCTAGGTGTGGTTCTTCATAAAACTCGATTGATGGCTTGTAAATGAGAGGAAAGTTAATTCAGTTGTCTGAAAGTTAACAATACGCTCGCTTGGACGGTTTCTTTTTTATTATTATTATTGCGATTTTGTTAAAACACCCAATCAAGTAAAGAGCGTTTAACTTAACATCAGAAGCCGTGTGGAAGAGCAACAGCTAAATTCAGATCATCAAATGAAAACCTCTATAAAATGATGCCTAACTTATAAATGCATTTGCTATTAAACAGAATATTAACAGAGCGCGTGTTTTAAAAATAGGTTTACTCAGTTAACGTCACAATATTTGCTTTACACTGATCAGTGTTGATTTGTAATTATTTATTCCCCTTAAGGCAATAAAAATAATAATTTGCCAGGAAAACAGAAAGCACTAAATCAACTTCCGGAGTCCGGAGCGCTCAAATAAAGTTAAGTTCAGATAACATTTTTTTTTTTTTTAAGTCTTCTCTCCTATACTACAGCCTACATCTGTTTTGAACGGACAACCCTTTGCGATTGTTGAATTTAATTTACGGCTTATGCATTCTTAAGGGGTCAATTCCCCCGACCCCCCGGAAAAGTTTTGAGAGGAGCAAAAATTCCCAAGCTGCGCGGCTTGAAGGAACTTTGCGCATCTGTCCTACAAAAAAATAACAACAACAAATAATTAAAGTTTGTTGTTTTCAAAAAGACAAAGACGCTGTCAAGATCGAAGTGAGACAAAAAAAAAGCAGCTCCGGACTGTGACTTGCAAATTAAAAAAGGAAGAAAAAAAAGTGCAATGAGAATGGAGCGAAAGCTTCACACAGCCATCACATACACACACACGCACGCACACACACACACACACACACACCACACACAGAGAGAAACAGAGAGAGAGAAGAGAGAGAGAGAGAGAAGAAAGAGAGAGAGAGGAGAGAGAGAGAGAGGAAACCTACAAGCGCGCACGTCACTGTCAATGAAAGGTACCGCTGTGTGGACAGAAGTGAAATTGCCACCAAGCGGAATAAAGTTACGGGACATGTAAACAGAGACGCCGGATCTCCATCAGCCCTAAAGGTTGTTAAGAAATCACTAACACTTATTCGGCGCAGTTGGTGAGACTGGTGAAAATAAAATTTTTAAAAAACTCTATGCGTTTGGAGAGTCCGTAGCGCTGCGTCTCGTCGCTCAAGCACACAGAGGGGGGCAGAATAAACAAAAGACGATTTCAAGTGTTTATAATACATCTTACGTATTCAATGAGTTATTTTTCACTTTTTATTTTTATAGTTGTGAATGAAAACTGGAGACGAGATTTATTTACCGATTGTTGTGCGTAAGAGTCACTCCGAGTGTGAACACAAGCCGCTTCTGTCGTCTCTCTTCTTATCGGTTTGTTTTCGGGCTTTTTGGAGGAAAAAGAAGCGACGCATCAGGACAGCCGCGACAAGCAAAGTTTTTTTTTTGACTCCCACTCCTCTCCGCCGCAAAAAAGGAAAGAAAGAAAGAAAAAAAAACTTTCCGTCCCGTGCCAGCTCAGCGCGTGAGGAACTCTTCCCGCATTGTTTTAAAGCACGCACGCACTCACGCAGCGCAAGGCAGGGCGCGCGGGACGCTTTCACTGACAGCTCTCGCTGAAACAGAAAAAAAATGAATCATAGTAAGCATCGGGACAAAGACAGCAAGCTGGTGGTTTTACCTTGACGATGAGAGCCGTGGACGAGAAAAGTCCGCGTCCTTCTTGCGCCGTGAACGCTACGCTACAGTTTACAAAGGATCACTGAGCTGCTATCTGTTGAGCGAAAACTTGACTCTGCGCACACGGGGCCACATGCAGGAAAAGTGCTGCTGGCGGCGGTGGTGTGTGCGTGCGTGTGTGTGCGTGTGTGTGTGTGTGTGGGGCGGGAGCGTGTGTGTGTGGAGGGGGGGGGATCCGAGAGAGTCTGTGAAGTTCACTTGTCCAAAGAAAACAAAAAAAAAAACCCCAAAACTACAAGAACCATTTGTTGTTCGCCTATCTGCTCTTTATCTCACTCCCCTCGCGGACTCACTTTTAGACAAGAGAAGACTACAGGAGCTGAAGATGCTGTCAATCTTGGCAATCAATGCGCGCAGCCATGTCGCAAGTATTCAAAGCATTTCCCGTCGTGCAACATCAGAAAGTGAGTGGCCAGGGCATTGATCTGAGGAAGGCAAAGAGGCAGGACTCTGCCCCCCTCCTCCTCTTCCTCCTCCTTCTCCTCCTTCTCCCTCCCACCTCCACCTCCTTCTCCCAGACAAGAGATGCGAGAGAGAGAAAGAGAGAGAGGGATGAAATAAAAGTGAAGATGATTGTTTCTGTCCCGACTTTAGTATGTTGTTATTATTATTTTTTTTTTTTTTTATAAAGTCAAATGTGCATCAAATGCACGAGACGCTGCAACTTTGTTTGTTTAAGAGACGCCGCACTTCTTCTGTTGTTTCTATGTATGCCACTGGATGCTTCATAAAGTGCTGACTCGTTTCCCATTTGCGTGAAAACATTCCTGGTCACTTGCAGATATAAACATACAGGTACTGCAGCTGAACGCTTGAGCAAAATGAGAGTTCGGATGTCAGACATCACAAGAAGAAAAATAAATAAATAAATAAATAAATAAATAAATAAATAAATAAATAAATAAATAAATAAGACACTAATTTGCAAGATCTGGATCTTCAAAAATGACGTTTGATTTTCTTTGACGACTCTAAACAAAAATAAAAACCAAAAGACGTTTGTGTGTGTGTGTGCGTGTGTGTGTGCGGGTGTGCGTGTGTGTGTGCGTGGGTGTGTGTGTGTGTGTGGATAAGTGAATTACATCTGATTTCTTGGTGATTGGGCTTCATTTGGTCGTGATTTTTTAAAATAACTGTTTCCACAAATCATCCTTCTGTCTGTCCTAATATTTTCCAAGGCGGTTCTATTATTGCTATTACAATTTAAGATCTGTCGGTGCGTATAGATACACAGAGGTGACATTTCAGAATGTTTCAATTGAAATATTTAACCCACTGCAAAATTTCAGAAAGTAACATTTGAAGACAAAAATCTGCACTGTGGTCAATTTGTTTTGTGTGTGCGTGTGTGTGTGTGTGTGTGTGTGTGTGTGTGTGTGTGTGTGTGTGTGTGTGTGTGTGTGTGTGTGTGTGTGTGTGTGTGTTTTCTTTTTGCGCAAATTTAAACAATCAAAAAAGTTAAATTATACTTATTCACTGAGATGTCGACCTTTCCATTATTAGTTTTAAATTAAATCTGTCTGTTCTCAAATTTTTAGCATGGACCCTCTCTGATCTTTTTAAACGTGAGATATTAAATCACAAGTTCACAGGTTGCTATAACAAAGCGCCATTTATCTGTCTTGAATGAGCATATGTTTTAGATTATCAGCTTGGATGCAAGTCGGAGGAGGAGGCCCGCTTATGTCAAAGTGAAGCAATTTCAACAGAACCGCAGATACATAAGGGGGGGAAGAAAAAAAACAACTTAAATGGTACTGATGGAAGAGTTGTAGCCTTTCTAAATCAGCAGCAGCAGCATTTTTGTCATGAGCGTTGCAAAATTAACCTTAAAGTCTTTGCAATGGAAAACAAATCAAAGTTTACTTACAGAGAAGGAAGATGGACAGCGGGAGGAAACTCTGTTACCAGCCGAGTGTCATGGAGCTGAAAGAGGGAGGAGAAGCGAAGAAAAGGGCGACAGAGGGAGGGAGAGAGTGACAGAGAGCTAGAAAAGAGCCAGATAGAGAGAGGGGGGGAACAGAGAGAGAGAAAGATGCACAACTCGACCACAACATCGCATCAGATCACATCAGGCTCCTGTGCGTCTGACTTTCTGCTCTCTCTCTCTCTTTTTCTCTCTCTCTCTCTTTCTCTCTTCTCAGGTGAGGCAAAAAGGTGAAACAAACCCACCAACCCAGGAGCTGCGGCAGGGCCAGCATCACAGAGCTGCTGCTCCACAAACACTTCTTCTACTTCTTCTTCTTCTTCTTCATCTTCTTCGGAAGCCCTCATTTATTTTATCTGAAAGGATGTGAGGAAGTTTTCGGGGGGTGAGGGTTTGTTTTTATTATTATTATTTTTTTTTTTTCTAAAGAAAAGAAATAGACGTACCTTTATGAACTCTTTCAACACTTCAGAAATAACTGGAGCAGATAAGAGAAAGTCTGACGAGAAAAATAAAATATATAACTATGGTTCTGTACAAATTTTGACAGTGTTTCCCCCCCCCCATATCCACACATGGTGATTTATATGTGGTCTCTCTTTTTTTAAAACGCAGTTTCTTAAAGCAGCGGGCGTTTCTTTCATTTCCCGGACCACAGCGCTGGTTGAACGTGCCTCATGCGCCACCTTTTGGACTCAGAGAGAAAAGACACCTGCAGGTGCGGCTCATCCTTCACATGCAGATGGTTGGAAACGAGAATAAGTCAGCGCATGTTTGGGCCTTGTGTTTTTTGAAGGTAAAGTTTATCCTGCTTTAATCGTGGTTGTGCAGAAATGTACACAATTTTTGTGTCTCTTTAGAAACGTGGCTTCATTTAAAATAATAATAATAATAATAATTTACTGTCAATACAGTTCTGCAAACTAAAATTTTGCTTTTCTCTTCAAAAAACTCACTGGCACCTGCTTATAGGTGCTCAGCACACGATGAAGTCCAGTCATGGTTTGTGTTGAGCAGCTGAGCTTCTTCCAGGAAATGCTAAATCTTTAAATATATATGTTTATATATATATTTGTTTGTTTTTAAAAAGAACAAATACAGGCCTACTATTTTTAAATAAGGGACTGCATGGCTTCCTCTTTGCAGCTCGGATGGTAGTGCATGAGGGCTGCATGAGGAGCAAAAAAAAAAAGACAGTCCAACTTGTTGGGGGGTAAGACAGACACATTTGCATACCCTGTGAGTCTTTGATGCATCTTCAGCTTCAAGTCTAGCCCATAAATATTTGAAAAGGAGAGTGCATGAAAATCAACATTTTTGTTACATTAAATTAACATGTGTTCTTCCCCCTGTTCTGCATGGTTAATTAGAGAACACTATTCAGTCAGTGAGTGTGGACGGGTGGGGGTTAGAGCAGGGGAGGTGGGTGGGGGTGCTGCACTTTGATTACTGTGCAGATGGAACAGGTTTTTTTTTTTTTTTTTAAAGAAAGGTGAGCAGCCGATTCATGCTTTATGCCAACAAACATGTGGATGAGTGTATCCACCCCGTTCCCTTCAGTGTTCACTTCTAATTGAAAACCACCACCCTTTGACCCTGGACAGATAGGTATTTATAATCATTACATATATGATAATTAATAATTAATAATACATTCTGCTGAAGCTTTGTCGACAAAAAATGATTATGAACATATGTTTCACTCATGAGCCCCTTTCTGAACACTGGAACTGGTCAGGTCTCTATTTGAAACAGGCATAGTTTATGTTAGATCACATAAATGATAAAAACACTTCCTGACATCACAGTGCCATGAGAAATCACACATGGATTTGTAGTGCTGTACTCGATTATGACTTTAAATCCCCTTCTGACATGTTCATCTATCCTCTATTTAAAAATATGAGCATAACAAACTTTGTTTTGTTATTTAGTATAAAAAAAGCCAATGACTGTTACCACTGGACCTTACAGTTTTGCTCTAGACATCCAGAGCAGAACTCTATTTTTTGTGTGTTGTGGCCTAAAATGAAAAACAGTTTTCCATAATCCAAGATCTTCAATAACAAACAATTTAATGATTTTTCTTTAACAACTCAGGCCTTTATGGGGCGGCGGGACCTTTTCCTCTCTGTCAAGATGTCGTCGTATAAGAACAAAATCTAGAAAGTCAACATGACCTCCTGGAAGCCGGCGTGTGCAATCGCCTCCAACAGCATTTGCATTCATGCAAATCATCTCCCTCCCAATTGGACTTGAAGTGTGGTGGGATGCTCTGTTCTCATTAGCTGACCCAAATCTCTTCCTCGTAACTCTGGATTTCATCAAAGTTTAGTCAGGATCTAATATTTCCTTTCAAGTTAACAGCGAACCACTGATTCATCGTGTTAAAATAAGGAGCGCAACATGCCAATTCTAATTATATAGTTATCAAGGACAACTTCACATAGCTTGTGCCAGTGATAATATAAATGCACATGCATGCAAAAATGTAAACCGGTGAATCTTGAGCAGTAATATAGGGGAAAACATTTTGAGGGGGAAAAAAACAAAAAAACTCTTCTTTTTCTTCAAGTTTCTTCAACAAACATGTGAAATTTTCCTGTGCAGCTACAAACTTAAAATCGTCGGGTGTTCCACTTGAACACATTTGCAAATTGCAGCACCTCACAATTGCAGAAGTCTTGTTATTTTTGCTGTTACAAAAAAAAATATACAAAAAATTGACATGTCACTATTCTCTAGATTTTAAAATACAAGATATGATTCACTTCCTTTTTGTGCTTAAGTCACAGGCTCCTGTAGATTTCATCACTGTGGCTTAGTGAGAGTATAAGTGTATGGGGAGCTGCTAGATTAAACAGAAGGGCCCAGGGGCATTTGGTTCATTTGCAAAGCAATTGCTTTTATGTACAAAGAGCCCAATTCACTGTAGGTATTGTAAAAGCTTCTCACTTAAGGAACACAAGATTGTTCATTCATTGTTTAAAAAAATAGAGCAACTTCTCCACTCGCATTTAATCATTCATGCAAGACAAATTGTATTCTCGGACTCCTTTTATTTCATAATAACCAATTAACAGTATAAAACACAAATAAGTTGTAAAACGCATATTTTTTAAAAGCGAGAAAGGTGGCTTTGAAAGCAGATATTCTAATTTCTGCTTGCAGCCAGGGCAGCCTGACTTCTATTCAGCCTCCCCTTTATTCTTTTTATAGCATGCACA